TGGTTGTAAACATGTAGCTTTTTTGCTGTGGCTTCATAGAGGGAGTGAGAAACCAACTGTAACATCTACTCAGTGTTATTGGAAAACCTCTTAATTTATCAAAATGCGTAAATATTGATGTACACTTGGCTAGATTGTTAAAGAAACCTCTTCATCCACTACAGGAAAATAAATCAGTACTTTTATATTCTTAGGATTTGTATATATATTTTTTATTTGTAAATAAATTGTTTTTTACTTCATTTTTTTCATTTTTTATTTAAAGATTAATAAATAAAATTTTCACAGATTTTTATATTTTTGTTTGTAAACAATAATTGAAGAGTTTTTATTAAAAATCACCAATGTTAATAATAATAGGCTGTTTAAAAACTCATTATAATCCCTGAAATGTGATAATTAGGTAAATTAAATTAAAAAAACAAACAAACAAAAAATTATTAAATTAATATTTACTCTTACAAAATAGGTTCTTGTAAGTTAACAAGCAATTATGCAGATATTACTAAGTAAATGTACTTGCTTAAAATTCACACACGAATGTGGTTTTAACTTGTTAAATTAACTAACCCTTCTTATAACTCTTTCCACATGTATTCTTAGAGATGCTATTCTTTTACTTAATTGTACATCTTCTGGAGAACTTTTTTCATTCTGTGATACACTAGGTGTGGCTTTACTAAAGTGCATCCCATGTTTTCAAGTAGCTAAATATTCTGAAACCCCTATCTGCCATTATATGGGATCCAGGAACCAGTTTGTTTAAATACCCACATTTTTCTATTATTTCTTTATCACTAGTTCTTCCACAAAATGATGAATAAATTCGGTATCTTCAAAACTTTCAGGAGATTCTGCATTTTCTTCCAGAAGGGTTCTTAGGTTATACACCTAAGAATTTATAGTAGCCTCATTTTCAATTTCCTGAAGGGGACAATTAGTAGAAATTGCTGCTACATCTTGATAATCCGGTGTATTTTTATTAAAAAGTTTACGAGAAACATCGCTAGTAGAAGGTTGATTTTCTTCTTTCCAAATTTCTAGGAACACTAATAAATATTTTTTGAAGATGAATGTGAATCATTATCACATTCTGGAACAAAACACTTTTTCGTAGTCATAATATTTATAAAAAGTACAAAATTAAACACTCAAATTCCAAATAAATTCTTGATCGAGACACTATGATGACAGATGCCATACACAGTGCTGCCATTTTGCCATTTTCTGAATTATTAGGTGACTTTTAAAACAATGAAACTTTAAATATGGTAAAAGTTTAAACAGAAATAATACTTTAAAAAAACATTTGATATTATATATTTAAAAGATATTTGTTTAACGATGTTTTAGAAGTCTAAAAGTAAGAAGGAGTACACAAACGAACGTACATCACTTCTCGTAAACCTTCTAGCCGGCAACGTTGTGCGCTAGCTCCTATTGGTCTATTCCCGGTGACGTCATAAATTTTAAAAAAATTCATAACTCCGGCAAATGAATAGATAAAAAAAAATAAAAAAAATGTAGTTTTATTTTTAACTCTACTATTCATAAAAAAAAATTCAAAATTTTTGAACATGCCCCATTACCTATATCTAAATGAAATAGAAATAAAGCTTACCTAGCCTCCTTTGGTGAAATTTTCTGTTCATGAGCTTCTTGAACACGTTCTTTTTTTATTACTTGGCCAAAATAAAGTAGGAGTGGCATTCTTTTTAAATAACAGTTTTATCACTGACTAAAATTAAAAAAAAGATTTCTCAAAATGCTTGAATGATTTTAAAATATTTCCTTGACATACATTTTCTTTATAGGATTTTCCATTACATTAAGCCTTTTATCTAACCTTAAAAATAAATTAACAACGAATAATTATATATAACTACATAAAAGGTTTTTATTAGAACCCCAGTTAGATACCGGGCTAGAACAATAATTAAATACCTAATTGATTCATCCAAAAATAATTGTTAAATACGGGTCTGCATGGGTGTTAAAAACTTACTTATGACAAGTTCTTCGGAATTATTTCATCGGTTTGGACAGAATAAAACTAAATATGTTTTAACCATTGTTTATGGAAGTTTTTTGGACGTCTTTATGAATCAAAATTACTTTCAAAAACTCACAAAAACTTTAAAAATCATAAAAATTGGTAAAAATAACGACAATCACAAGACAACTAAATGTCAAATATCACAATATTCTAACTAATGCGCAGACTCAAATCTACCCGGACATTTACGCTATCGTAAACGTTTTTCCTTGCCACCCGGGCAGCCATTTTCCTATCTCCCCCTCTTCATATCTATGGTATCATGATATTTTCGGTTTTTTTAGCGACTATGAAGACTAGAGATAAGGAGGCGAATCGGCCTTGGTCAAATTTCAAATTTCCGTCCCTATTTTTATAAAGTTCCAGAAAACTACTGTAGTTGGCGGGTGGCAAAATAACGACGTCTATTTTCTATGCAAGTCAATGGGAATTAAAGTGATTTTTGTAAAATTTAGTGAAAAGAATAAAAATAAGCTGAAATAAAGAACCTGACTACAAGTAACAATGAGTAACAAAAAACGACAAAGCAGGATGTTCTTCGTGTTGGGTTGCAAAACGGGATATAAGTCCGATATAAAATTAAAGAAATCACAAGGAGATAAAAATACAAGTCTTTTTAAAGCTCCTAGTGTAAGTAAAATAATGTATTTATTTCTAAATAATATATATTTATTGTAAAATAGTCACAACCCGTATCTTACGGAGTGTAGTTTATTTAATTAGAAAATTCTATAATAAAAAATAATAGTCATAAATCCTGACTTACAAACAACAATAATTACACATTAAATTTAACTTACTAGAAAAGAAAATTTGCTTTTTTTATGTTTTTTGATGTTAGATGAAGAGTTACTACTGTTATTTTTCTTTATTGAACTCCAATTTAGTCATTGCAAATATTTTTTATAGGATTCTAAACGTTAAGAATAATGGCAGCATGTGATTCCTAGGGCTGATAAAGTACTGTCTAGTTATGATTCTGTTTGCGAGCTACACTTTTTAGAAGATGATATTTTAAAATTTGACGAGACTATTTTAACTAATGGTCCTGTTAGCAAAATAAAAAGGGGACAGCTGAAATTAAAGGATGAGGTAATACCATATTCATTCCCAAATCTCCCTTTATACTTGTATTACAACAATAAAATATCTGTTAACTGTGTTTTATTTTACTCTTAAAACTTTATATTGGTTTAATTAAAAAACAAATTGCCACAAAATTTTACCTTTCAAATTTCAGCTATTAAGAAACCTTTTCAAATTTGGTCATACATACCAAAATTGTATTTTATATAGATGAAATTAAATAATTTATCAATTAAAACATACAAGACTTACTTAGAAATAAATACAACAGTATGTTCTGTGCTTTATTTAGCTGTAAACAAGTTTATTTTTATTATTTTGACATAATTATGTATAATTCCCATAAGAAGCCATGTATTTTGAACTACGTAAACCGTACCAGCGCCCATGCGGTTAATTATAAAAGCTCAGTTGACGTGTGATTTTTGGGACCGTATTTTGAGCATGCCGATTCGCCCCCTTACCTCTAGTCTTCATGTTAGCGACATATTCAAATTAAGTGACAGCGATCTTTTAAAACGTTGTTCTGTTCTTGAAGAACGACTGACAGATCAGGATAATAAGGATATAGACTCCAATGATTTGTTTAATGAAATTAAAGCGTTAAAGTTGTTTTCATTACCTGATGATACTGACCCCTTAAGTATTTTACAATATATATTTGAAAACAATTTAATCTCCACCATTCCAAACGTAAGCATTTCACTAAGAATTCTTCTGACATTGCCTGTATCTGTAGCTTCTGGCGAGCGCTCTTTTTCAAAGTTAAAAATCATTAAAAATTATTTAAAATCGATAATGCTTCAAGAAAGATTGTCTGTCAATATTAGCAATTGAACAAGAAATTTTAGCGATGTAATTAATGAATTTGCAATAGCAAAGTCTCGGAAAATATCGCTACTACAATAGCTCTTTTTTTATTTTTCTATTGTACCTAGCTATCATTTTTAATTTTATAACGAAGTTACCTAGGTATTTGTTATAAGAAGTATCTGCATATTTTTTAAAATATCCAAGTATCAGTAGAAAGTAGTACTTATATACCTATATGTAGACATTAGGCAATATTTCTGTTATTTGTTCCTAAAAAAATGTGATTTTTAGTTTTGGGTTATTTTCTAGTATTTATAAACAACTTGTCTGTACCCCATTAGTTAAGTAAATGCTTTAAAATGGGTGTGAACAAGAATTTATTTTGTTATGATTTTATTCTGTTTGTTTCATTTTGATATTTTAGTCTACAAATAAATATGACTTCCAAAGTTTAGGTTTTTGTTTTATTTCAAGCACCTACCTACCTAACTTCAAAAAAATAAATAAAAAAAATATGATCCAAAATGCCTTAAGGGGCGCCAAAATCCTTTTTTGCACATAGGCGCCAGTAGCCCTTACGAAGTCCTGTTCAAAGCTAATTCTTAAACTGACAATTATCAGCTATATTACAGTGAAATAGACTAACAGTGAACTCTTCCGATACTTTTTTTTACAAATTCTGGAGTTCTTTGGGCTAACTCAATATATATGAGCTATAAAATATCCTCTTTCGATTGATCCTCTTCGAAATTTTTTCTCCTTGGTTTGTCTTCATAACCAATAATTCGTGGCATTCTTGATCGTGCCCACATTTTTTTTAAGCGAAGCAAGATACTATTTTCCAATGACCGCCTTTACCAAATTTACTTTTTGATATTTACAGGGTCTAAAATTAATACTCATCTACTTATTATAGAATTGTTGAAGTTGGATAGATAATTTAAAAACCTTTCAAATGCTCTATAGAATAAACAATTGCAACATATATTTAAAAAAATTATGAAATCTATTATTAATTAACAGTCTTTTCAATTGTTTGTTTTAGGTATAAAGGAACAACTTACAGGCTTTGTATTTTTGAACAACGAATAGCCAATTATCTTCATTTAATGCCAGCCAAAAATAAACGTGATAGTTCTAAAAAAGTGATGTCGCCAATGCCAGGGGTTGTAAAGTATGTTACCCATAAAGTTGGAGATTGTGTAGCACAAGGAGAAGAATTGTGTATTATTGGTAGGTATTGGTACTCTTATAGTAGGGCATTATAAAAATGTATTGACCTAGAAAAACATTGAAAATAATAAACGAAACAAGAAATGGTAGATACCTAATTCTACAAAAACCATGATTTGATTGGACGTTATTTCTAAATTGTGAAATATTTTATTATTACATTTTCTTTAAAGACTAAATTACTATTTCATACTGTATTATTTATTGAATTCTTGTTTTTATCACTTGCAAAGTCTTGTCTAAGATCGTGAACAAAGATTTCTGTTGCATTCAGCAATAGTTACCTTTTCTTTAAAGATTTCAAATGGGAATTTGACGAAAATTTGGTCAGGAGATAACCTTATGAAGCTTTAAACGTCGAGTATATTCCAAAAAAAAATATTTATCTGCAACTATATTAATATGGAAATTTCTGGAATGTAACCAAATAGGTTAAAAAAAATTTGGTTTTTAAAATTAATACATCAGCAGCGATATCGAGGTGGTGAACAAAATTGTAGTAGTTAAAGACAAAAATTGTTTTGGAAGATTTTGAATATTGATTATTAGGGGAACAGAAAAAATCAGTAGATTTTAGAAACGTATTATAATTATTAGTCCAGGGCATTTAGATCAAAATCGACCGGAATAGCGGAAATATTTAGGTACAACAGATATCGAGATGAGGTTTTCTGCATTGTGTTTAGGAAGGTCCAAGGAAAAAGTCTATATCATCTGGTTTAGCCATTTTTTAAAAAATTCCTTTTGAGCCGGAAAATGCATTTTCCAATTGCATCATTACTTGCACCATTATAGGAACGACTGGAAACTCGGAAAAATCACTCGGAAATGGTTACTCGGGAGTTTTATGAGCTGCTAAACTGGATTATGTCATTAGAATTACCCGGAGGTGCACGGGGGTGGCTCTGTGGGGGTGCGCGGGTTGTGAAATTAGGAAAAATGGCAGTGAGCATGACCTCAAAACTCGTTACTCAGGTGGTTTTCGGGGATGCTGAATTTAATTCTGGCATTAGATTTCCCCGGGGGCGTTCGGGAGTCCCTCTGTGGGGTTGTCTGGGGGTGATTGGGGGGCGTGTGGGGGGGGGGGAATGAAAGCGTCCATGAAAATCACTTCAAAATCGTTACTTGGGGAAGAAGAAGTTTATAATGAATAATTCAACATTAATAAAAACTCCTATTTGTTATTTGAATGAAGCAATATTTTCATTATTTGTGATTTTCACTTTCTTTTGTACCATTTCCCACAGAGTCACCCCCGAGCGCCCCCGTGAAAGTCTAATGCCAGAATTGAATTTGGCATTTCCGAAAACTCTCGAGTTACGGTTTTAAAATGATTTTTATGGACGCTGCCGTTTCTCCCCAATAACCCCCAGACAACCCCACAGAGCCACCCCCGAGTGCCCCCGGAGAAATCTAATGCTAGAATTTAATTCGACATCCCCAAAAACCCCCTAATAACGAGTTTGGAGCGCTTCCCATGGACAATGCAATTTCCCCCCTCCCAGAATGACCCCTTGGATACCCCCGCAGAGCTACTCTCGAGCGCCCCCTGGTAATTCCAATGCCAGAATTGAATTCAGCATCCCCGCAAACCCCCGAGTAACGAGTTTGAAGCGATTTTCATGCAGGCTGCCATTTCTTCCCCAATTCACTCCCGCGCACCCCTACAGAGCCACCTTCGAGTAATTTTAATCCCAGAATCAAGTTCGGCAGCCCCGAAAACCCCCCGAGTAATGATTTCCGAGCGATTTTTCCGAGTTTCCAGTCGTTCCTATAATGGTGCAAGTAATGATGCAATTGGAAAATGCATTTTCCGGCCCAGAAGGCATTCTTTAAAAAATTGCTAAACCAGACGATATAGACTTTTTTCTTGGGACCTTCCTGAACACAATGCAGAAAACCGCATCTCGATATCTGCTGTCCCTAAAAATTTCCGCTATTTTTTCTAACTTCCCTGGACTATATTAAATAAAATTTGTTAGAGTTTTAAATAATTTAATTAAAGAAAAATATTTTAACAGCAAAATCAACATCCTAAAATAGAAGAAAAAGTTCGTAAAACATAGGTCCGAAAACGTTTCGTTGTCGAGATACAGGGTATTACAAGTGAAGTCCTGATGGCACATTTTTGTAAAAAAATATTTTCCAAAATTTCTTTAGTCACCAGTTTTCCAAAAGTAAAAAAAATAAAATTTTTGATTCCATAGGCTTACTAATTATTTATTGTTTA